GAAGGCCTACCCAGAAACATGATCCGGGTTAATTGTTTTAAAAACAAAGTGTCTCCCAGAGTCTGGGAGTCAAAGCCGGTTGTCAACCCAGTCCTGTCCTGCAGTCCTCTGCCTTTTCTTTTTCTTTCAACATAACAGATGCTGCTGTGTCCTTCGCCAAGAACTTCTTGGCAGGTGGAGTGGCCACGACCATCTCCAAGATGGTGGTAGTGCCCATCAAACAGGTCAAGTTGCTGCTGCAAGTGCAGCATGCCAGCAAGCAAATCACGGAGATAAGCAATACAAGGGCATTATAGACTGCGTGGTTCATAACCCCAAGGAACAGGGAGTCCTGTCCTTCTGGCGTGGTAACCTGGTTAATGTCATCAGATACTTCCCCATGCAGGCTCTCAACTTTGCCTTCAAAGATAAATACAAACAGATCTTTTTGGGTGGTGTGGACAAAAGGACCCAGTTTTGGCACTACTTTGCTGGGAACCTGCATCAGATGGTTCCACTGGGACCACATCCTTGTGCTTTGTGTACCCTCTTGATTTTGCCCATACCTGTCTAGCAGCTGATGTAGGCAAAGCTGGAGCTGAAAGGGAATTCAAAGGCTGGTGACTGCCTGGTTAAGATCTACAAATCTTATGGGACTAGGAGCCCGTACCAAGGCTTTAATGTGTCAGTACAGGGCATTATCATCTACTGAACTGCCTGCTTTGATATCTGTGACACTGCAAAGGGAATAATGCTTCCAGATCCCAAGAATACTCACATCCTCATCAGCTGGATGATTGATTGCACAATCTGTCACTACTGTTGCTGGCCTGACTTCCTATCCCTTTGACACGGTTTGCCATGGTGTGATGACGCAGTCAGGACACAAAGGACTAATGGTGTACAGGCATGACTGACTGCTGGAGGAAGATTGCTTGTGATGAAGGAAGCAAGGCTTTTTTCAAGGGTGCATTGTCCAACATTCTCAGGGGAATGGGTGGTGCCTTTGTACTTGTCTTGTATGACGAGATCAAGAAGTATAATTATGTCTTAGGTGTTCTCCCTGAGAACAGGCATGTTGTATAATACACCATATCTTGAACATCCTGGACAGAGTCTCTGGGCTTGTCTGTTTTATCAATGGCAACATTTTACCAGTTGAAAGGCAATAATATTCATCTGACCAGTTTTCTCTTAAAGCCATTTCCATAATGACAACAATGATGGGATTCAATTATGTTTTTTTTATTTCAGTCACTCCTGATAATACAAATTGAAGAGATAAATAATATCTAAAGAAAAAAAAGTGTCAAGCCAGGTGGTGGTGGTGCACACCTTTAATTTCAGCACTCGGGAGGCAGAGGCAGGCAGATCTCTGAGTTTGAGGTCAGCCTGATCTACAGAGCAGTTCCAGGACAGCCATGGCTACACTGAGATTTTATTGAGGAACAAACAAAACACCAAACCAAAACAAAAACAAAAAAAATCCAAAAGTGTCAAGATCTCAGAAGAGAGAGCATACCTTATTCATTTATTTATTACAATTTATTTTGTCCCGGGACTCTAAAGGTAGACCAGGTTGGCATCGAACTCATAGAGACCCACTGGTCTGTCTCTAAGATTAAAAGTGGGTGCCATCTCCGCTGGCTTGGGAGTACAATCTTAGTAAATTTACTTTAGCACTGGTAAAAGCATAGCAGCAGAATTTGGCTTCCTGGTTCCAGGGCCGCATTCTAGGGGAGTTGCTGTCTGTCCTCAGCACATTCTGTCATGTGAGCTATTATACTTGCTCTTTATAAGTCGGATTGCTGATATATAGGAGACTGTCCAGTTGGAGATGGGTGCTTGGTCCAGTGATTCTGAGCCAACTAGAGCTACAACCCATTACTCAGCCTCAGCCCCCTCCCTGAGTCCCTCGTAGTTATTGTCCATCTCCCCTAGGTATATGAATGCCATGCTTTGTTTATCTGGGTAGTGTAATATTGGTACATGTCTTTTTGATAGTTAATTCCTCCTGCTGAGTTGACTCCGTATCATTATCTTCCCTTTCCCCACTGAGGCAGGGTCACACACCATGTTGCCCAGGCTGTGCTCAAATTTATTGGCTCAAATGACCTTCCTCCCCAGTCTACTCAGTAACTGGCCCAGTTCCTCTGTTTTTATAGCTTTTGATTTAGAGTGTACTTCTCTCATACAACTACTCTTGATTTCTTTTTTTTGGGAGGGTGGGTTGGATTCCATTTGCATGGAGTATCTTATTTCATTTCTTCACACCCAGTGCCTGCATATCTTGTTTTGTTTTGGGCACTATTTTTTTGCATGTATGTATGTGTGTGTTTGTGTATAGCTGCCTGTGTGCTATGGTGCACATGTGGAGGTCAGAGGACCGCAGGCATACTCAGTTCTTCTCTCCTTCTACTGCTGTGGGAATCTTTCTGGAATAAGCATTCCAACATCAATGTAAATAGAAGTCACCAGTGGACCAAATCCAGGACAGCTCTTGAAAGGCTTCGATCCTGGGTCGTTTGCATTCCCCTTTTATATTCTAAAACCACAAGGTGGGGTGGGCAAGCAAGCAAGATTTTACAGAAATGTATGTGGCCGTCAGCAGGTTGTCAAGGGCAATGGCCCATTGTTTCAGCTTTTTCTCTAGGTCATTCTGTTCCAGGTGGCAAGTGCCGTCATGCTTGGTGAACAGGCAGTACAAGCAGTCAGTGCGTTAAGTAAATCACTAAATCAGCACTAACACGTGGTTTCTTCCTTATACTTCACTACCATGTGGGGT